GTAATTAAGGAAGGTATCAAAGTAAGAATGCCAATATCTTAATGTCCATCTGTAAATCTATAGTGCAGCCATGCTTGGATGCTTTGAATGGTCCTGGCTACCAGTCCTTAAGAAAGTTATTGGACAAGGTTTTGATGTTTTGTGCACAATCAAATAATGAAGGGATCTGAGCAACTCCGATGTGAGGAAAGGTTGTAACATTTTGGACTGTTTAGTTTAGGAATTGGAAGTAAGGTGGGGTATGATGGGAATATATAAAATTATGTATGGTGTGGAGAAGGTGGATTACGGGACGGCTTTTCCCCCCTTCCCTTTCTTTTTTATACTAGGGCTTACCATCACCCATTACAGCTGATTAGTGGGAAGTTAAGGGGAAACAAAAGGAAGCATTTCTTCACACAGTATATATTAGACTATACAAGTTTCATTGCATCCTGTGGAAGCAGGCCACAAAACCCCTTTTACAAAGGGATGCCAAGCTCATGCAGGATGAGGCTATCAGGATCTACAAAGGGACAAAGTTCATGCATGATGATGCTATCAATGTAGTACTAGTAATGGTGGCTAAATAGATCATAGGCAGCATATATTTGAATACCAGTTACTGGGAATAAGTGAGAGATAGCTGTTGTTCCGTTTTGGGACTTGTATAGTTATTTGGTTGCTACTATGGAATTAATAGCTGGATTAATAAACTCCGCAAAGTCAGACCACATACTTTTATGTTCTTAAAACATTCTTTTCCATCTGCTTAGATAAAACCTTGCTACTTATTCAGTTCTTCTTTCAGTCTGATGTGTTCGGGTATACTGTGTTTCCCAAAAATAAGACAGGGAATGTGTTCGGGTATACTGTGTTTCCCCAAAAATAAGACAGGGTCTTATATTAATTTTTGCTCAAAAATGCATTGGGACTTATTTTCAGGGGATGTTTTATTTTACAGTCATGTCATCTTCTTCTGATTGCTGCAGAATGCTACACAATGGTGGAGGGCAGGGGTTTCACTTAATTAGGGCTTATTTTTGGGGTAGGGCTTATATTACAAGCATCCTGAAAAATCATACAAGGGCTTATTTTCAGGTTAGGTCTTATTTTCAGGGAAACAGGGTAATAATTCTGCATATAAGGTATGGTGCTATGATATTATTATTATTATTATTGTTGTTGTTGTTGTTGTTGTTGTTGTTGTTGTTGTTGTTGTTGTTGTTGTTGTTGTTGTCTAGTAAATAGAAAGGAAAGTTTTCATTCCCAAACCAACTTCCACATACAGAAGGGTGAGTTGAAAGCAAATTGAACAGTAAGGGAGGCTTACTTTGAACTGAGAGTGTAGAAACAATTAAAAGACATTTTAGGATAGAGCTTGGGATACTGAAAGTCCAAAAAGCACCAGCAATACAATGTGACAGTTCAACACATTAAAAAAAACAACTTTTGTCTAGAATATCAAAAAGCTAGGCAAATAGGGACAATAAAAATAGAAGAAAAATCTGTACAAAGTAATAACACACTTTTTGCATAATGTTTTTGCATAATCAAGCTTATTATTGCTTATAGTGCTTTTGAGTAATCAGAGCTTATTATTTGTGCAGCAACTCCAAGGCTACTTTAATGTCCATATTGTGGGATATTAAATAGGGGAGAGGAATGAGGCTAAACTAGCTTGCTAGAGAGCTTAATTAGTTGGTGACAAAGTTTCAGGGGGTAAAACCCCATCTCCCACCCTATGCTTCTTAATTACTGCATTACACGGGCTCTCTTCTGAGGCTGTCTGATTGCTCTGCATCCCTGGTTATAATGATTCTAACTAAGCCACTTTTTGAATGAAGAACAATTGATATTCTTACAACTGTAGCAGGAAAGATAAAGATGAGGGCCATACTGACATGCTACATAAAGCAGGCAGAATGCTAAAATAATAGGGCAGAATCCTGGAAATTGCATTAGGCCAATAAATAGTTCTAGTTAAGCTGAGGTTCATAGGAAGCTTGTGAGATTAATGGGAAGAAAATATTACTGGTAGAAAAGCTGTTCTGAAATGCAGGCTGCTCATTGCTACTGATCAACTAGTGGTCTGAGCAGTTACAAAACAGTATAGGTAGTGTACATTTTAAACTTAAGAAGAAAACTGAATTTCATCTTTTAATCAAAATCTGCTAGTCTCATCAATGATGTACAAGAAATTGGAAATTCTGTTTCATAACTTATGTCATGTAAGGCTGGTAACAAAATCTGTCACAGTGACTTTTCTGAAATAAAAAATTCTCATACCACCACCCGGCTCCTGAGACTCTCATGGGATCCTTTTTGTTGTGGGGAAGCAGTTGGGGGCCATCAAATCCCATGTAAACCTTGGGACCTTCATGGTGGGGAATCATAATTTCCCCCCCAAAAAAACTGCCACAGCCTTGCATGGCACAAATGATGGAACAGGATTTCAGCTATTGTATGTATCCTACTTGTGCAAGAGCTTCTATTGAAAATGCTCAGGAGGAAAGGAGAGTTGAAAAAGAATAATTTTTATGAAATATGGGGCAAATTTTTGGAATATGTGCTAATAAGGGGGAAAGGGAAAGCTCCAAATCAAGAATCTATGCAGTTTTGAAGGAGGTGGAGGAGGAGGAGGAGGAGGAGAATATGGCAAGAGGTCCCGTACATGGTGGTGGGGAACACAGTTATTGTATCTGAGTTTATATGTTTTATGTATATGTTTCTGTTTTTGTTATAGTTATAGAAAATAAAAAAAGATTTAAAAAAAGAAAATGCTCAGGAGGTTATCTTTCTATTTGCTTAAAGATGGCAAAGGAACAAGATAGTGATGATAGAACAACACTGGTTGCGTATTTTATGTGTCCTGCTTTTTCTAAGTGTCTAGAAGTAAATTTTAACTTATGGCAACCCTTTTCATAAGGGTCATGTATTTAAACGGATAAATAAATAATATATTTTAAAAATACATTTAAGAGGTGCAGCAGGAGGGGCGGAATCAAAGAATCCCTTATTAAAGCTCTCTCCTTAGAATCAGTCAGGTGCCAAATGTCTTTCTGGACAGAATGGTCTTTGCCTTCTAACTGCAAGATAGCAGGAAGGGAACCAATCTGTTTCCCTTGGGAGGGTATTCCGTAGCCTGGAGCACTAATCTGGAAAATCAGTACCAAAAAGTAGTACCGAGTTAAGACAAGTCTACCCTCAGCCATCCCGTAGCATGCAGCTTATAAGAACTGGATTTGCCCTCTTATCACCCGTGGTGAAGTTCAGATGGAAAGGCTGTATACATGAGATAGCTTTCTAGGTCCAGCCCTGTTGCAACTTCTGTCTTCTCTGATTTATTGCAGTAGTGGACAGACTTTAGGCTTGTGAGACATACTTTGTTAACAGAACCTTGATATCCACCAGCTAGAGCTTAATGCAGAATGCAAAAAGAACATTGAACCCAGGAATTTGTTTTAAGTATTGCCAGCATTAAATGAAACTCACAGTGTGTCAAAACAAAATTTGATTCCTAGTCATCCCAAACTCAGTTTAAGGGCTTGAAAGAGATATTCTGCTACTATTATTGTTAAGCAAAAAAATTTTCCAGAGAGCTGCTACTACATTCATTTCTGCCTTCTCCCAACATTTGAGTGACTGTCTTTCTAAATATCCTAGCTATTAAGCAAGTTGGTTATATTGCTTGCAATCATCACAGCAACATATGCATTGATGCAAATGGACCCTGTGGTCTCAAGCAGGACCCAGAACGCTGTTGGATTTTTGTTTCGGTCATTTTGCTCATTGTTCTAAAGATTGAGTTTGATGGCCAAACTGTTCTTCAGTGAAGGAAGTTGACGTTTGGTGAACAATGTGGCTAGTGCAATTGACAAAAAATACCCTAGACCAATCCTTACTTAAGTTTTGTCTTAGATTGGGGGCACCTTCCACAGGTCAGGCATGAAAAAGGTATACATTGCCTTTTTCCACACTTCTGTTCAGAGCACTTCCTTTCCATCTACCCTTCCTATGGTAGGCCACCTACATGTCAAATATCTTGTTGAACTACTGGAAAATCCTCATTGAAACCTTTCTCTCCTCCCCCCCTTTCTTTCAAAAGCCTTTTTGTCAGCCTTGCCCTGGTGACAGGAATGAGCTGATTGATGGGTATTAATGAATGTCACTGTCAGTCGTGAGTTTTCTAAGTCTCACATTGTTTCCTTGCCTGCCACTCTCGATGTGCAGTGGGGTGACTTGAAACTCTGTTTTCATTGGCTCTTCTTCTCTCCAGGCTAAGTATGGACTATGTCTGCTAGTTACCTTTGGCCTACTGGGCAAAAACTGTAAGACTGAGCACGTGACTAATGTCCTGAGGGACCTTGACTGTGGAGAGAAGTGTCAGCTGAACAGACACAGCAGAGCGTAAGAGGAAAAAAGTGGAGAGTGGGAGGAGAGATTTTTTCCTTCTTTATCATGTTTATGCCTTCCAGAGATTTGAAGGAACCAGTGCAAGAGGGGTGTAGAAGTATGCTTCTTATTACCGGAGCATGCACGCACATATTTGAACAGGTTTTAAGCATTGGAGCTGATGCTTTAAAAAAAAACAATGGTGCTCAGAAACTTTTCTAAAGAGTGGTTAGTGTGTTTTTTGTAGCAGAAAAGGAACTACTGCTGTTTACTCTTCCTCTTATGACCTGTCTCTTCATCAGATTCCAGGCTATACAACAGAACAAAAAATAGACACAAACATATTTTTCAAACTTTGGCTGATGTGTGTAAGTAAGTGTGGTGTCTGGTAACTGCTTTGTGACTGAAAAACAAACACAAAATCCCAAATGCTAAATGAAGAGCCTTTCTGTTCAAAAACATCTCTTTCTATTGGAAGGGAGGACATTTCAGTGTTGTCTAGAATACAGATATATCTAGGTTGGTGTTGTGGTACAGTACTGGAAGATGCACATCCTCTTCTCTGGATGAAAAAAAGGGTTCTTTCATTCCAAGCTGGACTCACAACTTTCCTCTTTTGTCACCAGACTGCAGCATAAAGAACAAAGGCAAACAATCACAATGCAAGCTCATGAATTGTTCAGGCATCTGCGAATGCCAGAACTCGGTGATGTAAGGCAATACGTGCGCACTCTTCCAACAAACACTCTGATGGGATTCGGTGCTTTCGCAGCTCTCACAACTTACTGGTACGCCACAAGACCAAAAGCTCTGAAGCCACCATGTGATTTAGCAATGCAATCTGTGGAGGTAGAGGTAAGCAGTTGTTTAGTTTCTGTTCCTTTACTGCTTTATTGTGTTCTGATATAGAGGTCATAGAAACAATCTAGACTTGATTAAATAATTGGCTATTTGGCTTTAATACAACTAATCGGATTAAGAAAATGGTTTGAAGCTGTTCATGCCAAGCTATTTTTTTACACACACATACTCACCACAACTTTCTAGACTTATTAACAGATGGCATGATGCCGGGAGGAGCAGGAGGTTAGAAAGGTGAGAGTGATACAGACTGGAGAGGCAAATGTTAGAGCAAGACTGGTACAAACTGTTTCTCCATTTCTGGGACCTTGTGTGCAAGCTTTACACTAATGGTTGCACTAATTGTTCAATGGGTAAATGAGAACCAGCTTTTTCTCTGAAGCACAAGTTGAGTCAGACAGTACCTAAAGTGATAAAAGGTTCCTAATTCTGGCTTCTTTCCAGTGTGTCAAACCTAAATCCTGCCTGCTCACAGTCATGTGCTGTGATTGAAGCTTGTCATCTTCTTGCTTTTCAGTGGAATTTTGGTCCTTGTGAACGATGCTTTGTATTATCATCACTAAACAACACATTATTCTGTTCCTTTTGCAACAATACCTTGTATTATTGGAACGAGCCCACATGCTGTGCATATCTAGTGTAGTGCACTTGGCTAAAATGTGGAGAAATGTGCATTATGCTAAGCTTGAACATGCAAAGAATTACATTTAGCATGTAGGAGCACTGGAAGGGGCTATGCATCCTCACTTATAGTAAGTTGTATCCAATTATTTAACTGGATTGTAAATGAGCGAGTGCATTTTCTGCATCAGCTGTACTAATTGAAGTCTCTTCTGGCACACATCTGCCTTACTGGATCAAATAAGGCTGTTTACAGATGTCTGTTTTGAGGCGTAAAATATGCATTTTATGTATGTATGTATGTATGTATGTATGTATGTATGTATGTATGTATGTATGTATGTATGTATGTATGTATGTATGTATGTATGTTAATTAATTAATTAATTAATTAATTAATTAATTAATATGCCGCCCACTCTACCCAGAGGTCTCTGGGCGGATTACAATAATTTTAAGTAGCTTTAGCCTAATTTTGGCATAACTGCTTAGACAGTTACAGAAAAAAGCTCCTTTGTATATTGCATTGCTGCTGAAATTTTTGTAGTAGTGATGTCAGTTTGTTTTAGCAGATTGGCAAAATTAAAGGGGAAAAGGGGGTAAAAAAGAAGACAAAGTATTGTGGCACTTTAAAGACTAACAGTTTTATTTAAGTGTGAGTTTTCATGAGTAGAATCCAATTTCTCAAATAAGGAGGTGCAAATACTTTGCCCTTGTATATTTACAGAAGGTAAGCTTTATGGCCAGATGTGAGTATAATGACAAAGTTACACTGCATCATTAAAACACAGGTGTTGGACTATCAAGTTATTACTGTATATGACATTGCAGGCTGTTAGCCAGGTGATGAGCTATATGCCAAGGAGAAATTATGAGAGCTGGGTCTGGGATAGAGTGCAGAGTCTGTCAAGGCAAACAACTATTTTGTGCCTATAAGTTATTACAGAAAGTGGGATTTTTAGTATCTGTAGTATGCTAAGAAGCCTTGATATTCTTTGACACCCTTAAAGGGTGCACTGGAACTTATTAATGTATACAACTTCCATTGTCTCCCTCTCAAGTTTCTCTTTTAATTCCTTTTTATTACAACGCCCACTTGGAGAGCTGTAAAGAGCGTCCAGGGAGGTTGAAATGTTCTGAAACAGATTTCTCTAAATTACCATACTTGATGTCAGATTTTGGTCCATTGATTCTTTCATGCTGCATTTGTCCTACATAGAATGCAGAGGGGCATTATTGGCAGAAGATGGCATAAATCACATTAGATGATGAACAAGTAAATGAATCCCAGATGTTGTTGCTATGATGGTGGTGCCAGTGTAGATGTTGGGCACAACGTGCATCTAGGTTTGTGACAGGGTCTTATTTCTGTCTTTGACAGCATGTCATTTTGCCTGTTTATATCAGTAGTTACTCATTTACGTTTGAGGGAGATTGCCTTGTAGGCAAAGGTAGACTTAAGAAGAGACAGCAGGAACTGGCTGCTTAAATGAATATCTGAGGACTTAAATGTAGTGCACAGTGCACTACATACAGTATGTTAACACCACTTTCTGCAATACCTCAAGGGCATAAGATAGTTGTCTCCATTGAAAGCCTCTGACCTAGAAAGAATTTTTGATATTTCTGTGACAGTCAAATCTTCCTGGCATACAGTTTATGACCCTAAATTGGGCCTGCAGCCTCAGGTAATTCACAACTTGATGGTAATCCTGTCCCTTTGTTAACAAACTATTGTCATTCAGTGTATGCTCTGTGTTACTTGGCCATGGCTGCCCTACCAGGGGGATAAACAGAGGGGACGTGTATTTCCACAGCTTGTATCTGAAGGTGGATTATTAACACAAAAAAAGTTGACACCGAAATCTGTTAGTCTTTAAAGCGCCACAATATTTTGCCTATCGCACACCTGCTTCCCCACCTTTCTCTTTAATTTTGCAAAGTATTATTAAAGTGTATTTTGATATCACCCAGTTCTAAGATTGAGACATCACTAGACCATTTGTTGTTGTTTAGTCGTTAAGTCGTGTCTGGCTCTTCGTGACCCCATGGACCAGAGCACGCCAGGCCCCCCTGTCTTCCATTGCCTCCCAGAGTTGGGTCAAATTCATTTTGGTAGCTTCGATGACACTGTCCAACCATCTCATCCTCTGTCGTCCCCTTCTTCTCTTGCCTTCACATTTTCCCAACATCAGGGTCTTGTCCAGGGAGTCTTCTCTTCTCATGAGATGGCCAAAGTATTGGAGCCTCAGTTTCAGGATCTGTCCTTCCAGTGAGCACTCAGGGTTGATTCCCTTCAAAATGGATAGGTTTGTTCTCTTTGCAGTCCACTAGACCATAGGTACTATAGTATCTTTGTTCTTAAACACAGGGACACAAAGGCTGGAATCCTATTGATGTTCACAGACAGGTTGTATAACTTGCTGTAACTAATTGCTGAGGTGCTTGGGTCCATGACTAGTCTCAGAGATTTGGCATTATACATTATTACTATACTTTAGTATAATGGTTTTGATACTATATTTTGTTCGTCTGTCCGTTAACTGAACAGGCGGCTAGTTCAATCTCAAAATATATTAGAGTTAATGCTTTTCTGAACCATAATACTAAAATAGACTGGATACATAAGCCTTGTATTGACCTGGCAGTTACCTTGCTGTATCTTAAGCTCCTTGTCCAGTGCAACTTAAAGGGCGTGAGGTAGTCCTGATCCATCTCTTGTCTTCCCCTAAGATACTTAAAACTGGGACCTAATTGTGGAAATACTCTCCTGCAGTGAAGGTGGGGATCTTGTTTCTGATCCTGATTATATTTTTTCAGAAAGCTAGACAGTACTTCAAGAAGAGGACCATGGGGAAACAAGCATGATACTCTACAGCTTTAATATACATGGGGGGGGGAGAGAAGAGTGATAGAGTAGACAAAAATGTGTTTAAACACATTGTGTCTCTAACACATAAGGTTATAGTGGAAATCCTGTATTTTTAGAACTGCCTGTATTTTAGAATCTGGTTAGAACTGCCACTTATAATATGAAATGGAAAAGACAATTCTCTGTTAGACAAAATAAGATGAAGTCAAGAAGAGACCTGGCTGTTGAGATGAAGACACTGATGTGAGAGGTACTGCTGTATGGACTTATAAATTGGCTGGCTGCTCATTACAGGCAGGGCAGGGCAGGGCAACTTCAATCTTGCCAGGATAATTCATTTACCCAATTTTTTCTTCAGTCTGGTCTGGTCTGAATATTTGCCTAGTTAAAGAAGCTGAAAAGGGATATTTGTGTTTAACATCATGGAATAAGTAACAGACATTTTTGGAAAGTATTTGGCACTTAGTTTTCAAATTATTGATTTCTCTTGAATCCAGTCCATGTGTGCAGAGGGCTAAATGGACATTGTTTAACATCACAGCTATCTGCAGGGGCCCACACATTTTGGCTGACCTTAGGCAGATTTGTCCTTATTGTTCCCCTGCTCCTGTGGGTCTGAAGTTCAGCAGGAAATGGGATGTATGACTTACAACATAGAAAAATCTTTATTTGTTTGTTTGTTTGTTTATATTTTTTTATTTTCTTTATAAAGGTATAAAGGGACAGCTGGGTTGGGTTACCCTCGGAGGGGGTGGATTTGAACAGATACATTACAGATCAATATTTTTCATAGTAATTCTATACATTCTCTTCTAGTAATAGTTCCACATATCAAAAAGAAATATAAACTGAGTGAGAGGGAAAAATCAAATTCAGACAGATATATTGTTATTCTGATTATTGATTATGTAGCTGATAGTCTTTACCTATTCTCAGACATTTTCCTTTTATTTCTTATTTCCCAAGGAATATGTTTCAGTGTCTTCAGATTCCTTCCTTCTCTTTGCTTCTCTTTCAAAACAAGACAAGAAAACCTTGATTTATAATGAAATTGCCTGTTAAAAAATTTAACTCCTAAATTTTTAATTCCTAAAATTCACTCCTTTATGCAATTACCTACTGTAGATACCATGTCCTTCGCTTCAGTGGCCGTGAAGGAAACAGGGAACAACTCCGTCTTATTTGTTCCCATAAATCCCAGTTTGTTGTTCTCTTGTACACTGTCCCATTCTGTATACAGTACTTAATTCACAACTTCTAAAATCACAAAGCTGTGGTTTTCATTGATGTGCTAGCCTTTCAGTGGAGATTGTGTATTCAGCAAAGCTAGTGTGCCACTGTTTCCGCATAGTCTTTGCTAAAACTGGTTGTCACTCTCTTTCCATAGCATAATAAGCTGACAGTTGGTAATAACTCTTGCAAAACCTTGCATCAACGGTGGTTTAGCTAAAATGCCACTGTTTCGCAGGTGTCTTTTAGTCTGTGTTCTGCTGCTAAAGCAGTACACTGTGGTTAAATCAACAATACTTCTGTCCCAGTCACTGCACAACAATGTCTTCTTATAACATGGGCATACATCCAAATACACTTTTTCTCCAGACATGGTCCTGTTATAGAAGAGCCTGCATGAAAAGTGTTGGCATTTCCACCATCTATTTTCATCACTTTTCACTGCAGCCCCAGTCTAAAATATGAGCCTGCCCGTCCTCTAAGATCAGGCCAGGAGGCCCTTCTGAAGGTTCCATCCCTGAAACAGGTAAGGGGTATGTGTGCCATCCCAAAATAGGGCCTTCTCGGCTGTTGCCCCCC